GTTTAGGGTTTAGGGTTTAGGGTTTAGGGTTTAGGGTTTAGGGCTAGGGTTAGGCAGGGAGGGAGGCAGGCAGGGAGGCGAGGAAAGGGTTTGGGTGAACGCGGGGGATATTGTGTTGGTGTCTTTGCGGGACTTCCAAGACAACAAGGGCGACGTGATCGCGAAGTAGGGTTTAGGGTTTAGGGTTTAGGGTTTAGGGTTTAGGTTCAGTGCAGGCTGTAGCGCGTCGAGTGCCACCCCCGAACGAGAAACCCCCCGCGACAAGCGCGGCAGTTCTAGGCTTCCGTAGCACGCTGCCTGCTGCCGCCCATCCGCAGCAGCAGCAGCAGCAGCAGCAGCAGCAGCGGGGTGTGGGGTGTGGGGCCTGGTGTAGATACACCCCGGACGAGGCGCGGGCGCTGAAGTCCTTCGGCGAGCTGCCCGCAAACGCCAAAATAAATGAAACGGATGCATTTGGCGAAGAAGACAACGCGGGAGGTGGGATCGAGTTCCAGGAGTCGGGATCGGGATCGGGATCGGCCAGCGAGGACGACGAGCACCAGCAGGACCTCGACGTCGACGACGTGAGCGGCTCCTGCTGCTGCTCCTGCTGCTGCTCCTGCTGCTGCTGCTGCTGCGCGGCACCAGCGGCTGAGGCGGCGCCGCAGCAGCGGCTGAGGCGGCGCCGCAGCAGCTGCTGCTGCAGCTGCTGCTGCTGCTGCTGCAGCTGCTGCTGCTGCAGCTGCTGCTGCTGCAGCTGCTGCTGCTGCAGCTGCAGCGGTGGGGTGGGGATGGGTAGAGGCGTAGGGGTGCATGCAGAGGCAGCAAAAAGTATTTTGGGGTTTTTGTTTTGAAGTTCAAAAGTGGATTTTATTCGTTTAAATAGTTTGCTGCTTTAATTAATCTTTCATTTAAGATGTCTTATTTCAAATAAATTTTAAGTTAAATTCCAAATAAAAAATTCATCCGCAAGGCCGCAGCAGGCGAGCAGCACAACTGAGCGCCTGCTGCTGCTGCTGCTGCAGCGGCTGCTGCTGCTGCTGCTGCGGTGGGTTGGTTGATGTAGTTCTGTGTAAAGATGTATGCAGAGTTGATGGAGTTTTTTTTTTTTGCTGCTGCTGCTTTTCTTTTTTCTTCAGATCTAAAAAAAGTGATTTATCAAGCTCGGAAGGGAGGAGTTGGAGGGCAACACGGAGCAGCTGCTGCTGCTGCTGCTGCTGTTGCTGCTGCTGCAGACGTTCAGCAGGAGCAGCAGCGGCGCCAGCGGCAGCAGCATCAGGTTCCAGTCCTGCAGCAGCTGTGGTGATGCCCACTGTGGTGCTGTGGCGTCCTCAGCAGTTGGGTGCTGCTGCTGCTGCTGCTGCTGCTGCTGCTGAACAGGACAAGCAGCGGCGTGAACTGTGGCGTTTGCAGCAGCAGCAGCAGCAGCAGAAGGGGAAGCAATAGACATTTAGGGCTTAGCAGCCGCCAGTTTGCTGCTGAGGTCGTTTAGGATGTCTTTGGCACTGACTTGAAAATTTCTCAAGTGGTTGAAGACTCTTGCTGTTTTGCTGCTGCAGCTGCTTTGCTGCTATTTTGCTGCTGCTGCTGCTGTTTCGCTGCTGTTGCTGTTTTGCTGCAGTTGCCGTTTTGCGGCTGCTTCTGCTTTGCTCCTGGTGCTGTTTCGCGGCTGCTGCTGTTTCGTTTTGGCTTGCTGTTGGTACCTTGCTGCCGCTGCTTTGCTGCTGCTGCTTCGCAGCCGCTACTATGCTGTTGCTGCTCTTTTGGGCTTGCTGCTGCTTCGCCTCTGCTGCTGCTATTGCTGCTGCTGCTGGCAGCACTAGCGGCTCAAGTGGCCACTCAGCGCCGGAGGCCTCAGCCCAGCTATCCACAGACAGGTAGCTGGCAGCTAGCTAGCCAGGCCTAGCTAGCTAGCTGGCTAGCCACGGACAGCTAGCTAGCTAGCCACGGGCAGCTAGCGCTGCGCAGCTAAGCCACTCACTGCAAGCCACTGCGGGCTAGCCACCTGTGGCTAGCTCGTTGCAGCTGCGCAGCAGCAGCTAGCTGGCTACAACTAGCCAGACACAGCTAGCTAGACGTAGCTAGCCACCTGTGGCTAGCTCGTTGCAGTTAGCTTGCCGTAGCTAGCTAGCCTTGACTAGCTAGACGCAGCTAGCTGGCGGCAGCCAGCTGACATAGTTAGCTAGCCACAGCTAGCTAGCCACCGCTAGCTAACCATAGTTAGCTAGCTGCGGCTAGCTAGCCGCGGCTAGCTAGCCGCAGCTAGCTAGCCGCAGCTAGCTAGCCGCGACTAGCTAGCCTTAGTTAGGGGGTAAGGCCTCGCTGGTCTTCTCTTCTGTCTTCTCCTCCTTCTGCAGCATTCTGCTTTTTTTCCTTTCTTTTTTCTTTTATTTCGTCTGTTGCTTTACTTCTTTTATTTTTTCTATTTTCCTTGTTTGTTTCTTTTTTGTCTCTTTTGAGCTAGCTTGCTAGCTGACTGGCTAGCTGGCTGGTCAGCTGGCTTGGTGGCTGGCTGGCTATCTGGCTTAGCTTGCCAGCCGGCTAGCTAGCTGGCTATCTGGCTAGCTAGCTGGCTGGCTAGCTAGCTGGCTGGCTAGCTAGTTAGCTAGCTAGGTGGCCAGCTAGCCAGCTAGCTACCTGGCTAGCTAGCTGGCTGGCTGGCTACCAAGCTAGCTAGCTAGCTGTTGGTGACACGTGGGAGTACTTAAAGGCGGAGCTTTTCCCTGTCTAGTAGCTAGCTGGCTGGCCAGCTAGCCGCCTGCCTAGCTAGCTGGCTATCTGGCTACCTGCTTATTCAGCTAGCTAGCTAGCCAGCTAGCTAGCCAGCTCGCGAGCTAGCTAGCTAGCCAGCTAGCTAGCCAGCTCGCCAGCTAGCTAGCTAGCTAGCTAGCTGTTGACGCGTGGAGTACTTAAAGGGCGGAGCTTTTCCCTCTCGTCTAGGGAGAGAAGAGCCGCTGGGCGTTCTGCGTGGGGCGGCAGCAAAGGCCGCTTCGCAGCAGCACGAAATGAAGAGCAGCAAAAGGAGAAAACACCAAATGCAGCTGCCGCCAACGCATGCATTCGTGTATGCATGCATGCATGCGTGATTAGTGCATGCATGCATGCATGCATGCATGCAGGCACGCGTGCATTAGTGTATGCGTGCATGCGTGCATGCATGCAGGCATGCGTGCATTAGTGTATGCATGCATGCATGCATGCAGGCATGAGTGTATGCATGCAGGCATGCGTGCATGCATGCATTAGTGTATGCATGCATGCATGCATGCATTAGTGTACGCATGCAGGCATGCATGCATCCAGGCATTGATGCATGCAGGCGTGCATGCGAGTTGGAGTGCTTGCCGTGCATGCAGGTGCATGCAAGCACCTGCGCATGCAAGGCCTGCTGCGTGCAAGTGCATGCAGCTGCATGCATGCAGCCGCATGCAGCATACATGCAGGTGCATGCAAAGAAGCGCATGCAAACGCTTGTTGTGGAAATTGTGAAGACTCCGCCCTCGTGAAGATTGGGGCTGCATGCGCTGCTGCCCCACACATGCATGCAGCTGGGGTGTACGTACACCCCAGGGCCGTTGACTGGGTGTCTGCGCACCTGAGACCACCTGCTGCTGCGCTGCTGCTGCGCCGCTGCTGCTGCTGCTGCTGCTGCTGGTGCTGCAGACTCAAGAAAGCCCTCTGAGGCCCACAGAGGGCAAAATCACTCAAACTAAAGAGACAATTGCTGCTGCTTGTCTCTTTTTCTGTGCCACCTGATGCATGCAAAGCGGGGCCCCCAGAGCTGCCGTCCCGCCGCTTTGGGGGGCCCCTGTGGGGCGCCTCAGGGGACCCTGTGGGGCCCTAGTGGGGCCCCTCTCCGGCCCCAGCGGGCCCCCTATATGGCCCCCCGGGGGCCCCAGGGGGCCCCTGGGGGCCCCCCTGGGGTCTGGACCCCATATACCAGTGCCCCTGGGGGGCCACCTGTCGCCGCTAATTGGCCTTATGGGGCCCTCTGCAAATCTGTGGGGCCCCAGAGGGCCCCGGGGGCCCCAGGGGGCCCCCGGGGGCCCCCCCGGGGCCCCGTAGGGGCCCCTGTGGTTTGATAGCACCTGCTTTTGCCGCTGTTGAGTACACCGAGGTGTACGTACACCTGAGACTGCGCATGGGGTCAGCTGCGCAGAGCCCGCAGCAGCAAAGTCCAAACCCTGGGCGGCAAACCCTAAACCCCAAACCCTAAACCCTGAAGCCTAAACCCTCGCCCTCAGGGGATGGTGTTGATTTGGCTCCAGAGAGAGGCAAAGGGCGCCTGAGTCCTTTGCTGCTGCCCGGGCTTCCTGAGGTTGTGCTGCGCGCTGCTGCTGCTGCTGCTGCCTCTCCAGTGGTGGGTAATGAGCTCTTCAGAGGGCAGCAGCCCCTCAGCTAGCCCCAAGGCCTTGACCTTGGGGGCCGCAGTGGGGGTCATGGGGAGGGAGAAGAGGCTGGGCTCTGCGTGGCTAGCTGGCTGGCTAGCTGGCCGGCTAGCTGGCTGGCTAGCTGGCTGGCTAGCTGGCTGGCTAGCTGGCTGGCTAGCTGCAGCAGGCCGCACGGCCCGCCCCCCCAGCAGCACATCTACAAATTGACTTATGGGGTCTTCGGGGGCAGCCTCGGGGTTGACGGAGGACTCGAAGGTGAGTCCGACTTCGGAGGGGCGGGCTCCTGGGCAATTCAAGTTCGTAAAAAGCAGAAAAAAATACTTAACTCTCAATTGCTCTTCAACGAATTAGCCAATTAATTTGCCTTTCTTTTCAAGTTATTCTCCGTTTTCTGCGCTAAAGAATGAACTAACTCTTGGGATATTTCGCTAGTTTGTTGTTTCGGCACATTTCCAAAAAGTCGCAAAGTCAAAAGTGCTCAAGTGGACAAATGACAAACAAGTGGACAAGTAGCTCCCAGGTGGAGAGACACCCGAAACTGAAGCTGCATGCAAAGAAGCCAGGAATGAGATAATGAAAAAAAAGACAAAAAGAGACAAAAGGAGAAAAAAGACAAAAAGAGACCAAAAGAAACAAATAAACGCAAAAGAAGAGACAAATAGAGGCGAAGACAAAAAAGGCAATGAGACACATGGGGAAAAAAGGAGAAAAAAGGAGAAGATAAAAGAGCACAAAGTGCCACAAACACAAGGAGCCACAAGAGATAAAAAAGAAACAAAAAAAATCAAACAAACGAAACAAAAAGAGAATGAAGAACTCCAAAAACAGCCAAATAACTAACACCAGTGGTCCCCTAAGGGGCCCCCAAGGGGGCCCCAGGGGGCTCCTTGAGATCCCTTTGGGGGCCCCTAATGCGTCCCTAAAGGGCCCCTAAAAGGCCCCTGAAGTGCCCCTAAAGTGCCCCTGAAGTGCCCCTAAAGTGCCCCTAAAGTGCTCCTAAAGTGCGCCTAAAGGGGCCCCCTAAAGAGCCCCTAAAGGACCCCTAAAAGTCCGCTAAACGCTTCCTAAAGGGCCCCCTAGGGGGCCCCCCCGGGGACCCTAGGGGGCCCCTATGGGGGCCCCAAGAGTGCAAGGAGTTGAAGGGTTTACCGCCTGGGCTGATGCGGGTGAGGGCCGGCTGGGGGCCCTCTGGGGGTACTGTGGCGCCTTCGGTGTGGCCCAAGACTTTGATGCGGGCCTGGGTGCTGCTGAGGTCTTCGGGCTCTTGCTGGAAGCCCAGCAGCTCGTCTGCAGCAGCAGCAGCAGCAGCAGCAGCAGCAGCAGCAGCAGCGGTGAAGGTGGTTTTATGGCGTAGAAGGGGAGGGTAAAGAAGTGGAGGAAGGGGTTATAAGAAAAGAGATGAAGCGAGGCAGAAAGGGAAAACAGAAAAGAGATATTAAATGAAATAATTAAACACTAATGAGATTAGAAGAAATAAAAAATAATAAAGCTAAAAATAAATCAAAAATGAATAAAAAAGACAAAAAGAGATGAAATGAAACACGAAGAACTTTTCAAGGAAACCAGAAAGCGCTTGGGTGGCAGCCAGGGGCAGAAGAGCTCTAACAAAAGCCACAAGAGACCCAGAGCTAAGCAGCAGCAGCAGCAGCAGCAGCAGCAGC